GTCATATAGTAAAGCAGGTGACAACAGATCGGCCTGTTTAAAACGTTCAGAATGTTAGGTTAAATTCAATTACAAAAAAAAAACGCACAGAGAGAGGATCACCTTACCTTAACAAATTATATTCTAAATAATGAAAAACGACCCCGTACAGCAGTTGCAGTTTGCTATGGTTATCTAATAGATTATAGGCGATCACAACCCATCGAAGAAGAATCGCCTTTTCCGTCAAGAGTTATGTAGCCACGTGTTAGCAACAGCGAATATATCCATACGCCTATAACGATAACAACAGATCAGGATGGAAAATGATGAACCTGAGTCGTAAACTTCAGTACAGACTGTCCCAAATGACCCAACACGTGAATCGCCAACATTTCCGGCACTTTATCCCTGGGAACGAGCGACTTTGCAAGTTTATTGTTATCCGCCTCATCTTTTGACGCAAAGATCAAAGAATTAATCAATAGCACGAGAACACATGTCAAACATAACAAGCTCATTGACAAACTCACCCAACTTGCTGTCGAGCACCACATCCAACACTTCCTCCAGCTGCGTGCTGCTCAGACCATACCATTCTGCGAGTTTAGTCAATGCAGCAATGTTGGTCTTTATATCGGATTTTTTTGATCTATCTCCCGCATCTACGCGCGCGAGCCGCGGAAAATTCGGGCAATTAAATTAGTTGGACAAAAGGATAACACTTTAAAAAACAGACATTTAATTAAACTGTGCTATATTAATAACCCCTCCAAACTCACTTTCTTTGATAAACTCTATTTTCTCGTTAATGGTATGGTCGGCCGTTGCATTTGAGAGATCGAGTTGTTCTTCGCTTGTTCGAACTGTGTACGAGAACCCATAGTTTAGCAGTCTATTACAAGGCGGTTAGTTTTCCGAGTTCGAGTATACCTAACGGCACTTATATCAACCTGTATTCATAATGCCACCCAATAGATGTAAATTCGAATGCGCGATAACGCGATTTCTTGATACTCGGGGAATTAATATATAACCTGGGCAGATCACACGTCGTACGACAAATGTTCATGCATGGTTAGAATTAGGAAATCACCCACAAACTGTCCAACCTTACTGATATTACATTATAATATCGACACAAAACAGGCTTTTTCTCTCTGCAACGACATTTCTTACTAAATAAACCCTTCACGAGTAATGTTAGTGACTGTCGATATCACTGGACTAATGCTTGGTCTCGAACTGTGCAATAGTAATAATCCTAATAACCTCCACAATATTCGACTGT